TCTTCTTTTGCCTGAGCCATGTGGAAAAACTTGCATTGCTGCTCTGCTGCGCAAGTAAATGGCTATCTCAAAACCTGAGTGGCTTAGAAGCACAGAAGTGACTCAAAACAACCCATCAGTGACATCCAAATAGTCATTTGTAAGTAAATATAATTCACACATCTAGAATAAACAGAAAATCGATTATTTTCAGTGTTGGAGGACTGCATCAAAACTGGTTTTAAAAGATGCCGAGTATAATTTGAAGTGATGCTGTCAGGTTAAACAACTCGGGTCTCTCCCTGTCAAATGTGCAAATTCAGAATCATTTGGAGTTGCTACTCCGGTGCAAGTAAAATGACAGTCATACTCTATCATTTGTAAATATTAAGCTGAACAGATTTTAAATTCCCATTGGTTGGGAAGCAGAGTAATTCCGTGACTTCGGTGAAGTTACTCTGAATTTATACTAACATAGTAAGGAGGCCCTTGGTCTCTTATCTTCCCTGAAGTATGCTGTGCAGCATTTTAATGTTGCTCAGGAATTAACAGAAATGTCAGTCATGCCTTAGCAGAGCCTAAAAATATTTTCTAGTCAAATGGATTGTCACAGAAATACTGAAAATGTAAAAGGACACGCAATTCTGATTTTTATAGTTAGCTGCATGGCCATGCTCATATATGAAGAGTCTGCCTTGAAAAGTGACATACCAATCGAAACAAAACACAATTTATTATCCTAGAGACTATAATAATATTATTTAACATAGGCACTGTGTAAATAAGGATGTAGATTGAAAATTTGTTGTGATTACTAAGTTTCCATACCTTAGATGTCAGCGACCAAAGTTGAACCCCTAAAAAAGGTCCAAACTGTCTCTGACTGGGCAGCCAAAATTGCCAGTAGCTTCTACAAATCTTGGCTGTTCTGAACCTGAGGTGGGAGCGAAGGAACGTGAAATTACTTAGAATAATCTTGCGTTCGGTTCTGTGTCAAAGCTGGGTATTGTCTGCTTGAACGGCTATGCTGTCTACTTACAACACATTTAAGGAGAACATAAATCTAATATATTATCTCTCTCATCGTGGAAAACTTGAGATTTATTGTGTGCTTCTGTCAGCATCAGTGAGTCACCTAATTTCCTTACTTTCTACTAAAGTATAATATAGAGAGAGTTTGTACTATTCTGCCATGAAATAATACAAATGTTTTCTAGGGTACATTGTTTAAAATATATATTATGGGTCAGAAGTGGCCGTTTTGTTCACAAAACTTATGTTAGAAAAAGGATTTAATAATACTTATGGCTCTGGTTATGTAGCTATGGTAGCGGATACTTTCCTAATTATCTTTACATAATTAGATGCGAATTAGTCTCTTTAAAATTGTTTAATGCTTGCTTGTGTCCCTTTTTTTGCTTGTGTATGTGAGTTATAAAGCTCTTCCAGATACATATCTGGTATATGCTAAGCTCTTCAACCACTCTGCATGCTTGGCCTAAATTCACAAAGGAAATAAAATGTTGACATTTCTGCTTTATGTCTCTATTCTTTGTCAGTGACACTTGAAGTTCTGTTAATGTATTTTATCTCCAAAAGTCAAGCAGCTCTCCAAGTGTTCTTACAGCTTCGTGCCTACAAAACCATACCGATAGAAAGGCACTGCCAGAGAGGCTGGGCCTCAAATCTGGCGTGTTATCTGATGTTTAGAATTTAGTAGGGGATGTCCTGGTTAGTTGCAGTATTTTTAGTCCTTGTGCAGGGAATCACCTGTAGGACTCCTCACCGCAAGCAGCTGTGAAACAATTGCTCCCTCATTCTTCTGCTTTGGGAAACGGTCTCAGAAGGGGAGCTTTCCGTAACTGCTTCTGAAGCTCAGGTGCCGCCCATATCCTCGCTCATGACACACGTCCTCTGATCTGCTTTTCTGCCCGCTGTGCTAGCGTGCTTTGGCATGGCAATGCTCAGCAGCCCGCGGGGCACCCGGAACCCCCCTAACCTCCTCCTGTGCCTCTGTCCTCGGGCAGCTGTAGCCTGAGTGGAGGCCGTGCGATGCGCCAGGACAGGCTTATTGCCGGCAGTAGGAAAACCACTATTGAAATGTCCTCACTTCTGTTCCTGGCCTCTTGCGTATGTATTTATCAAAATGCTGTTTTTCAGTCTGTTTTACAAGAGTTCTTGTTTGCCTCTTAATATTAATGTGCTGGTTATTTAAACTTTATTGAGGCAAACATTTTGAGCTGTGTACCCTTGGTGCAAATTAGATTAACTAGAGATTGACACCTGTGAACACTTGGAATAGTGTCAATACCCATGCTTCAGTCTCATTAAAATTAATGAATTAAGTTTGTGAGCGTATACACCTAACGTCTTTATTTTCAGTCACTGCTGTCTTGATTCTGTATGCATAATAGTTAGTTTTCAGAATTTGCAGCGTACGTCCCCAGGCCATTTTCTGGATATTTATGCAATTAGTTTAATGAACTTTGCTTAGGAGTTGCTCTGTGATTAACAGCCATTACGTTCTCGGATTGCCAATTTTACAAGTTACCTAGAGATTTCACGTTCCGCAATTAAGTTTTCTTATTCACTGCGTAAAGCCGAAACACGTTTGTGGCGAACTCACCCAGCTAACAAACAATAAAGGCGTGCTGGCTGCGGTCGTGCTCTAAGGGTAACCCGCCGTCATCCTCCGTCCCCGCCAGCAATTGCCGGAACAAGTAACGTCCACGGAGCGGTTTAGCGGCTTGGCCGGGTTTGTCACCGGCGCGCCGCTCTCTCACGTGGGCTGGGGAGAACGGCTCGGTAGCGAGGGAGGGAATAGGCTGGGTCTCGGTCGGTAGCGAGTTCTCAG